ACCTACGTCTTACCCCCCAAATGTCATCTACTTCAGTGAAGAGAAAGAGGCTTTCCACCTTGATTCCACAATGACATCGGAATGGGGCGCCGGGGATGCCATGTACTTGATGGTGGCCGTCAAAGATACTGGTATAGGCATTAGCAAAGAGGGCCAGGCCAAACTGTTCGAGCGATTTAGGTAAGTCGTGCGCTCTCAGACACATCAAAAGTACTAAGCTCACCATGTGACAGACAAGCGACACCCAAGACCCAGGAGAGATATGGCGGCTCAGGTCTTGGTCTGTTCATATCCCGCAAATGTGAGTCCATGCCCGTGCTTCATAAACCATCCGCTAATCTATGCCCAGTATGCACACTGCACGGTGGAGACATTGGCGTGAGTTCGAAGGAAGGAGAAGGTTCAACATTCGGGTTCTTCTTCAAAGTCCGTCGCGCGGTCGGCGAAAATAGTGAGGGGCGGCCGACACAATCTCGAAGCAACTCGGAAACCTCAAACGCTTCCTCTCGCCCAGGAGAGTCCGGATCGCGGCCGTCTCGTCCACCCATTAGTCGTGCAAACTCGAATCTCTCAAGCATCAAAGAACGGAAGAATGAGCGTCCTGAAGCGAAAACGCTCGCAAGTCATGGCGGTGTGGATACTGAGGATGTCGAGCCTTCACTCAAGCATCCACCAGTAGAGAATCATCCAGAGTCGCATCCGGACTCGAATGAGGATTCGCGCTACAAAGAGACGGAGAAGGCCACCGAGGATATCAGAACACAGAAGCCACATATGGAAAGGAAACTACCCGACCTAAGGAGAGGTGAGACGTCACGCCAGGAGGACGATGCTAAAGAGATTACGAGATCCCAGAGCGACCAGCGCAACGAAGACACACACACCCTTCTCCTCGTGGAAGACAACCTCATCAATCAGAAAGTGCTGCGGAGGCAGCTCCAATCCCGTGGTTTCCAAGTGTTTACTGCAAACAACGGACAGGAAGCCATCGACGCAGTCGCCGAGCGTGGACAGTTGGCTGACAACGGCCCCAATGATCGCAATTACTTCGACTGCATACTCATGGACCAGGAAATGCCGATAAAAGATGGTAATGCGGCGACACAAGAGATCAGACAACTACAAGACGAGGGCAAGGCTGGATATAGCCACATTCTCGGCGTCTCTGCAAACGTACGGGAAGCGCAGACTAACAGCATGCGTGCAGCCGGTATGGACGACGTCATCTCCAAGCCATTCAAGGTCGACGATCTGGTCAAGAAGGTTCGTGGGTTAGTGCTCAACGGCGGTGGAGGTTCAAAGCACGACAACCGGCCGAATGGTGACTCAAATACGAAACATGAAGACAAGAGCAACAACCAAAGAAAGAACAGTGGCAATCAGGAAGATGAGGGCGCCAGCCAACAAGAGATGGGCGGTCTTCATCCTCAGACCGCGGAACGACGAGATAAGGACGGGCATTCAAATAACGAAAGAGAGAACCTGGATCGAGGTGGCGAAAGGTCAAGATCGCGCACGAATATCACCGAAGGATCTTCGAAGAACGAGCCAAATTCGCGCGCCAATATAACTGAAGGATCCGCGACGAACCAGCAACAGTCAAAATGAGTACTATAGCGTCCCGGTGTGCCTAGGGTACGCGTATACTCGCATTTGGATTGCACGGTGTTGTTCTCTGTGAACTTCGCGGCTCAGGATTGCATTGCACGGTGTTTTGGATTCAATGATCTGGACTGAGACTCGGAATGATTGGATGAGAAATGAATATACGAGGTTGAATCGCATTTATAGAAGGGATTTAGCGTTCCGGGGAATGGCGGGTGGGGAGGACGAGGGGAGGTGGTGGAGCCTCTTGCTGTAGCTGCCTTGCCTCTTGTCCGATTTCTTCGAGGTTATGCTAAGGGCTACGAGGGCGGATTCTCGTGCATTTATAAGGGACTGAGCGTTCTAGTTTTCTATGGTAGTATCTTCCGAATTTGAATTGCTACACTATTGTCGGGGAAGGTGCACTGCTAGTCATGCCCAGTATGAAGGTCTTCTCCGCGTATGAAGCAAAGTTTACTCACGAGAAGAACCTTCAGATTCGAGCACGAAACCCAGGGGAAGCCTGGCAGTCGTGCATGAGGGTGGAGTCTCCGATAATGCAAGAACCCGTAGGCACGCGAGTCATGCCCATGACATCCCACTTCCAGATGTTACCCCACCCTTTAACCAAACAAACATCGCGACCGAACTCATCATCATGCATGCTAGGCTTGTTTACATGCGCAGCTGCGGTCTACTACCTACTCTCCGGCCGCCTTGATATCCTAACTAACCTTCCAAACTCCTCCTACCTAGCATGACGAAAGAATTCCAAGACAAGGTCGTCCTGATCACAGGTGCAGCGAGCGGTATCGGGTACGTCTCCGTCTCACGTCTTATCGACCTACCCCATCCACCCCAGTAAACCCATCATGCTAACCCTCCCCCAGCCGCGCAACAGCCCTCAAACTCTCCTCCCTGGGCGCCTCCCTCGCCCTCTGCGACCTCAACTTCCCCGCCCTCAGCGCCGTAGCCTCCGAATGTAAAACCCCCACCCACCTCCGCAAAGTCGACGTAGCCTCCTCATCTCAAGTCCAAGAATTCATCGACAGCACGATAAAAGGGCTAGGCCGCCTCGACTACGTCTTCAACTGCGCCGGCGTCAACCCCACAAGCCTGAAGCTCGAAGACACCGACGAGGAATACTGGGATAAACTCGTAAACACAAATCTCAAAGGCGTGTTCCTCGTTACAAAAGCGTGCCTTCCGCATTTGGACCGCGGCTCTGCGATTGTTAATGTAAGCAGTGTATCTGGGATTCGCGGCTCGGCGCTTCAGTCCGTGTACTGCACCACGAAGTTTGGGCTTATTGGCATGACGAAGTCGCATGCGCTGGAGTTTGGGCCGAGGGGGATTAGGGTGAATTGCGTTGCCCCCGGGTATATTGATACGCCGTCGAATGCGGGGATTGTGAAGGGTGGGGAGGCGGTGGAGAGGATGCGGAATGGGAATGCGCTGGAGAGGCTGGGTGAGCCGGAGGAGGTGGCGGATGTTGTGGCGTTTTTGTTTGGCGAGGGCGCGAGGTATGTTAATGGGGCGGTTCTGGAGATTGATGGGGGGATTAAGATGAGTAGTACTACGAGTAAGTGAGGGTGTGGAATGATAAGAACGATTTGTATTAAATTAGCAGACAATGGGTCACTTTCTTGCGAACGAAGGAAGATGAAGCATCTGGCTATTGTTGAAGCTTAGAGTATATTTCCGTATGTTCAAGTCCGACTTGGCGCTCACCCAATGGGAACCTGAGGCAGAGGAACTCCTTGGTCACGTGCGAGATCGCCAGCTGCGCTAGCGCCTGTCGCATGTCGAAAGTTCCGTCGCGACATGATACTCTCACCACATCACCAACACCACAGCCATGACCGAAGTACAACAACCCACGCAAACGTCGCTCGCGACCGATACATCTCTCGAAACCGCTACATCGACTGAGCTCGTACCGACGACCGAACAGACGATCATCACGACCAATGCCGAGGGCAAAAAAGTTAAGAAGATCATCCGTCGCAAGCGGAGACCGGCGCGTCCACAGGTCGATCCTGCTACGATAAAGCCTCAAGAAGTCGCGCAGACGGGAAACATCTACAACGTCTGGTACAACAAGTGGTCTGGCGGTGACAGGGAGGACAAGTACCTCTCCAAGACTGCTGCGCAGGGACGCTGCAACATCGCCAAGGACAGCGGATACACCAAAGCCGACAAGACACCCGGATCCTACTTCTGCCTCTTCTTCGCGCGTGGCATCTGCCCCAAGGGTGTGGACTGCGAGTACCTCCATCGCCTGCCGACCGTCACCGACCTCTTCCCGAGCAACGTCGATTGCTTTGGGCGCGACAAGCATGCCGACTACCGAGACGACATGGGCGGTGTGGGAACCTTCCAGAGACAAAACCGAACGCTATACATCGGGCGCATACACCCCACAGACGACATCGAGGAGATCGTATCGCGACACATGCAAGAATGGGGTGAAATCGAGCGAACGCGTGTCCTAACAGCGCGTGGCGTAGCCTTCGTCACCTACACCAACGAAGCCAACTCGCAATTCGCCAAAGAAGCCATGGCCCACCAATCGTTCGACAACAACGAAATCCTAAACGTCCGCTGGGCAACCGTTGACCCCAACCCACAAGCCGCAAAGCGCGAAGCCCGCCGCATCGAAGAACAAGCCGCCGAGGCAATCCGAAAAGCCCTCCCCGCAGCCTACGTCGCCGAACTCGAAGGCAGAGACCCCGACAGCAAGAAGCGCAGAAAGGTGGAAGGTAGCTTTGGACTACAGGGCTACGAAGCACCAGATGACGTGTGGTACGCGAAGGAGAAGAGCGAGTGGGAAGCAGCCAAGCAGCTCGAATCTGGCGGCATGGGCGAGCGCATGATGATTGAGGGTGGAGAGTCGTCATACCAAGATGACGGCGCCGCTGCACAACAGTACCAGCAAGATGAGGGCTTAGCTGCGCAACAGCAGGCTAATGGCATTCTATCGGGCTCTACACTAGCGGCGCTCAAGGGCTTTAAGGCTACGCCGTCGAATAAGCGGCCTGCGCCTGTTGCGGGGCCGTTGGTGGATTATGGCAGTGATAGCGATTAAGTTGGGTCTGGATTGGGGAGCAGTCTGAAGATACTCACTGCGTGGACAGGAAAGCGAAAGGGGTGGGAGGATTGTACGTATAGTTTGCATGATGGAGAAAAGGACTAAGCATCTCATGGCGTACGCATAGGTTAATTGATACCCGTTCTTTTGCGACTCGTCACATCGTGTTCTGCTGATCGATTCACCTCATACGAGGACAAATCGGAACAGGTCTACAGCCTACGTCAAGATGAAAGTATGCAAAGTAGATGATCTGACGTCAACCTATGCTCTCTGGTGTTCAGGTGTTTTGTTCATGAACAACGTGGATCGGTGAGGTCGGCATTTACGACGGCGGCTGTACCCTGAGTTTCTTCGGCACTTGCGGCTTCTTTGTTGGCGAGGGATCGCGTTTCGCTACTACATTGGCATATGTAGGTTTCACTCCGACCGCTTTCTTCGCCGCTTCAATCTTCTCCAACGCATCCGCCTTCGGTATAATCTTCGCCTTCTCCGTCACCAGAATCTTCCTCGCAGCCTGCACTTTACGCACAGCATCCGCCTTCTCCTTGACCGACCTCTTTACCTCCTCCTGCCTCCTCACCTTCTCCGCCTTCTTCTTCAAATCCTCCGTCTGCTTCCTCAGTTTCTCCGCCTGCCGCTTGACTTCATACGCCCTCTTCGCCCTCGCCAGAATATCATCCGTCTTGGCATACTCCCCCCCTTGTACTGGCTTCCCGTTCCCCTTCTCCCTCACCCACGCACTCACCATGTCAAACCCAAACCAATCCTGCTCTACATTCACCATATACCCACTCTTCCCCGCTTTATCCAGCGCCCACCCATCCGTACCGCATTTATACTTCAGCCCCATCCCCTGCTTCTGCATAGAATCGAAATCCCCGACTACAAAACTCTGCGTCCGCGTGTCAACGAAGATATTCGGCGGCTTGATGTCGCAGTGCACGTACCCCAGTGAATGGATATGCTGGATCCCTTTTCGTATACCCTGTACACACTTCTCTGCATCGAAGACCCTGGACTCGACGATTAGATCCCACAACGTGGTATCGTAGCGCCGGAATAGCAGCGCTGTGATACCTTGATCCATGCCGTAGTTCACGCCTACGTACCGGCAGATATTCGGATGCGGGTTCTTGCGTAGCACTTCACAGTTTGCTATTTCCCGGATCATGATGTCTTTGATCCAGTAGGGTTGTCCGAAGAGTTCTCGGTGGTAGCGCAGGTAGTCCATTTGTTTGGCGTAGAGATGGCCTTTTGTTGCGTACTTGGCGGAGGTCATGGCGCCTTTTTTGTAGGTGGGTCGCGCGTTTGAGAGGTTGATTTTGCGTGGGGGGACGTCCCAGGTATATGGGTTGGGGTCGGGCTTGCTGTTGTCATCTGGGATTTGGGTTTCGGCGTACCATAGTCCTGGGTACTTTTTTGAGCGGAAGAGGGCCCGTTTGGTTGCGCCGGAGACGCGTGATTTTTGGAGGATTAGGTCGTTGCTGCGGGCAGCGGCCTGAGGCGCCATGATGGGGTGCCCTGATTGAAACGATGGAAGATGTTGGACGCAAGATGTTTGGTAGAACGGTGGAGGGAAAGGTGTCTGGCCTGTTTGTCTATGTAGTGAAGGGATGCACTGTGAATGCTTTGAGACCACGATGGCATGTTCCAGTTGGGACTATGATGCACTGATTCACTCTGTGAGGAGTTGGCGCTGCTGCACATTGTAGTCGCTCCAACACAGTTTCCAGTGTGCCCCTCTTGCTCACTTGGTTATGCTGTATCTGTACAGTGAAACCCTAAGCTATACCTCGTAGTGCGACTCTGTTCTTCAACAACACAAGAGCCCATCGACTTTGCTGGAAGATATATGTTGGTGCTCGCATTCCACCAAAGATCCCTCGATGAACTATCCGGATCAGATACCCTGGCCAGATCATCATGTTCAAGTACATTACCGGATTCACAGGCGTCAGCAAAGACGACCCACTGAAGCCGTCGATGCAGATCGTAGACTACCGCGTTGTATCTCAGGATTCTTTGTCCGAAACCTGGGTGCTAGCCCACAAAGACGGAAAACTATACCATGCAATCAAGAAAGGCATCCTATCCGACCGGGACATTGACCGTGCCGACCCTTCAACCTGGATAGACCGCGAGAACACTTTGCCCCCTGAGCAAGTCAACCCAGCCAATTTCTACCCGCAGTACAAACCTGATTACGCACGCGTCTGGGAAGTCCAAGGCTGCGAAACCAAGGAGTATTATAAGAAGCATCATGCCATTCTGCAAGCGGGCCACCGGCGCATTCGCAACATCCGTTACCCAGACTTTGTGGCTAAGACGACTGCACGCGAGATTGGGATATGCGAGAAACTTCGCGTAAACCCTCATAAGCACATCTGCAGATATCACGGTGTGCAAACTAGTCGCGTGCTTCGGTTTGAGTACCGTGGGTCTCCTATCGAAGTGCCCATGGAAGGAGAGCGCGTCCTAAAACTGGTCTTCGACAAGTACGATTGCGACCTCTGGGAAGCAGTTCAGCGCGGCTACGCTGTACATGTGCGAGACTGCCTAGAAGCTATTGCTTCTGCGATACGGCACCTACACTGTCTGGGTATCGTCCATGGGGATATTAAACCCCAGAACATTTTTCTAAGGTACCCCGAGGCTCAGTATGATGCGACTCCAACACGTTACGTCGTGGGCGATTTCGACAGTGCGCAACCCACTGGTAGTGTAATCGATGGGAAGCACGGGACTCCGTACTGGTCACGGGAGAAGAAGGTCTGGGTTGACACTGTGGAGGAAGATGATGATTGGTTTTCTTTGGAGAGAATGAGGAGGTGGCTGGTTGAGGTTACGAAGGGTAGGTTGGAAGATTATGAGGGGATGGATTGGGGAGAAAGTGGAGACGTAGGTATTGTTTGATGGACGCTGGATGGAAACGCTGGTTTCGTGGAGATGTTACCGATGATTGCATGTGCACCTCCTTTACTTTACTGTAAGGGGGTCCAGGACTTGAATCCTACTAATTTGCCAAGGGGATAAAGGATTATCCAAGGTGACCACGTAGGACGTCATGGACGTGGGGACAGCTTCTCATACCTGGACCAGAATGAGACATGTCCGCGTAACGATGATAATGTTCCAAACAGCCCGATGGCATGATATCCAAGCGTCGTGACATGGTGTAAGGGAGCGCGGAGTGCAGGAAGGAATGAATACGCGACGCGCGCAGTCCAGCCTTGTTTCGAGGTGGAGCTAGACAGCGGCACGACCCGACTAACGGCGTGGTTGCCCCATCCGCGGTGTCCGCGGTGTTTCTGTTTCGACTTCCGCCAGTCGCGCCATTGACGCGTCATCCCCTATTTGCTCGATCTCAATCTGCCTATACATAATACACAAGCGCTATATGTGAAGATCCCCTACCTATAGCCAACCGCCCACCAGCCGCCCGCCATGTCCCACTCGAACACGCAAGCAACCAACAAGATGCTCAGCACGCTCCCAGCACCCACGCGCGACCTGACGGAACTGGCCAAAGAGGAAAAGAGCTTCACCTTCAACCATTTTACCTGCGAACATGCCTGGGTTATTGGCAATATCCTCCGAAACGCGCTGAGAACCGCCGAATGCCCCGCGCTTATCCACATCTCGTCTGCGAATCAGACGCTGTTCCACTCGCCCAGCCTGCCTGGCATAATGCCCGATCACGAGAAGTGGACGGAGAGGAAGCGCAATACCGTCTTGAGATGGGGCCATTCGACTTGGTTCATGAGCTGCCAGTTTGAGGGCGATTACAAGAGGTTCGCGGAGCACAATGCTATGAGCGGGGATGAGTGGTCGAAATATACCATTGAAGGGGGCGGATACCCCGTCTTTGTCAAGGGCGTAGAAGGCGTCGTGGGCGCTATCGTTCTGGTTGGTGTTGGCGTCGACAGTGAGCAGGCGCACGGTGTCGTTGTTAAAGCCGTGGAGGAGTACAAAGACCTCCGAGAAGGGTTCCGCAGCCCAATGAGGAGTATGACGGTCAAATGACTAGATGGCCTGGGTAAAGGAGATGGTCTTGGAATCACACTCGGCATCGATGAGCGGATGGGAAGGAGCAGAGAGAAGAAAACCTGAGCGCACCACGTTGAGTGTGTTGTAAGGCTTGGATTGAGGACTAAAGTACAGAAGAGGCATGACTGCCAGCCGGACGAAACCCGAACCGCCCTCCCACCGCATCGAAAGCTATCGAGTAGCCAAATAATAAGTTCCGCCCAGTGTTCACATAAGGCGGATGTTCTGGTGGTTGCGGAAACACATACGTTGGTTCGATGGACGCATTGTGGCCAACGATGAAGGAGTAGGAAGTCGCTGGTCGGTCCAGCGACGGAAACCCGATCGTGATATTGGTCCCAGGCTTCACACGCTTCAGCTTGCTTGCTTGGCCATTTGGGTTGGGATTGGGGATCCAGACAGTTGGTATCGAGACGCCCTGCTCAGCCCGGATATACATCTGCGATATGCCCGTATCGACTAGCAGAGTGCCACAGTTGCGCCCTTGGCCGTCGATGCTGAAGCACATCTTCGCCATGGCCCAATCTCTCGCATCCTTATCATGAGTGAGACCTGGCTCTAGACCAGAGAATGCGAAGCCCTTTGTGTTCTTCGGCGTCAGCCCTATCTGGATACCTTCGGCCGATATAATGTATCCAGATTGCAAGTTGCCCTGCCGTATCGGCTCCCCGTCGACTGCGTTGATATTCAAGAATGGGTTGATATCCGGTGTCGCGTATGGCATACCATCTTTTGGACCGTTCCTCCCAAAGCCTACGCCCATGTAGGTGATTTGCGAAGTGTCTCTCTCTTCGGCCTGCTCTCCATGTGGACCCAATGGACATTCGAAACGGTCTTTACGGGGATCGTACCAAGGGCATCTCCAACTCTTGTCGACGATCAGGACAGGCACTTCTGCAGTCGCATATGAGCCATCCTCGCCGCCGAAGTGCAGCGGAAGTTTGACCAGTCGCCCTACGTAGAGGATCTTGCTGCTTGTAAAGAAGTGGTGTGCCGGCGTACCCTCAGTAGATAGTATGTTCGGCAGTATTGGGGCGCCTATCAAAGTGCCTGTAGAGCCAGTATCCACGGGCATCTTGATGTCAACCCCTTCGACGCCACACATGACTTGCGGCACATGTTTGGGGTTCAGATTGTACATAAATGGAATGAAGATCGAGTCCGTATGTCGGGTTGATTTGGTCCCCATCGGGCGTAACGTAGCTAGTTCGTTGTACATAGCGAAGAAGGCGAGGCTAGCGACCAAAATCAATATGCGCGAGAATAGTGTTGAACACTTCCGCTTTCGGTGTGTGAATGTTGAAGATGTCGCAGTTGGCTCGTGAATTCCAGGTGGCGATCGCGTTCTATAGACCTCGGTCTTCATGGCTGTAAATAGATGCAGAGACCACCTGCACCATCCGCTGGCAAACGCCTGACGCACGCTAAGTTCGCGCGTCAATGTCGCGTCCAAGGAGTCAACAGCGTGACACTTGATGGGAAATGTGTACAAAGCGGTGTCGAGTCATTCAAAAAGCACAGTAATAGCGCGCCGACGTCAACGCCGCCCGGGCGCGCTGTGAGTTGGCGTACCTCTGTCCCCGCAATACCCGGATCCCCAGGCACGTACTCCAACCCAGCAATCCTGGACTCCGGCTCTTCTGCTTCCATCACCATCATTCAGTCAGATGTCAACTTTTCCATACTTTCACGAATATATGGCTCACGAATCGCGAGATGCCGATCATCACGTGTGCTCATGCACGTCGCAGCCGGGGATGTTCTTAGCTCGAATTAGGCCTGTGGCTGAGTGTGACCATCCACCGCCCTGAAGGCAGTACGACCGCAGACTGAAGGAGAGGAGCACTCTAACTGAGAATGGCTTTCGACGACCTACCCGATCCCCTCTATCGACCTTGATACGTCCTCCATCCCATCTCCGATCGAACGAATATCCGCCCTCGTACTCCACCCAGCGCCTGCGAGCGAAGAGTCGCCGCAGCCAGAGCATGTAGCCAATATGGGTCGCTCACCATCACGATCCAGCGATGGGGCTGATTCAGCACAAAATGCGCGCGTCGAACCGCGTCTCCTGAAGGCCATCGAGGACAGTAAACACGACGATGCGATCGCGATTATCGAGCATGCGAAAGCGAAGTCGCAACCCATCGACCACCTCCTGCGCATAGGCTTGATGCGCGCAGCCGAACGCGGAAATATCTACATCACCGAATACCTGCTCAAGAGCGGCGCGAAGCCCGACGGCGCACCAGGTGGTCGAGTCTCGCCTTTGTTCAAAGCGATTGAGAAAGAGCGTGTCGACATTGTACGACTGCTGTTGAAGTTCGGCGGCAACGTGGATGCGCAAGACAAGCAGGGACGGACTGCGCTGATGACGGCTGCATGGAAGAACTACTACCACATTATGCAAGAACTGCTCAGGTACGGTGCCGACGTCAACAAGAAGGACAACACTGGGCGGAACATATTACACAACTTGGCGGCAGACAAGCACTGCAACTGGGGACGCGATGTCATCGCGGAGCTGTTGAAGCAGAATATCGCGATCGATGGAGCAGAGGGCCAGGACGACCAGAAGCGCAGCCCGTTGCATTGGGCTGCTAGTACCGGCAAGAAGGAGCTATGCGAGATGCTCCTGCGTCGAACGAGATTACCGAGAGCGAATGTGAACGCGGTGGAAGTCAGGCAGAAGACGGCACTACATCTGGCAGTCGCACACGGACGAGACGACATCATCGAGCTTTTACTAGTCAACGGGGCAGACGTAGGCGCGCAGAGCGACGGAAGTTGGACGCCCCTTCACAATGCTTGCGACCAAGGCAGTGTAAAGGTGCTGAAGATACTCATGGCTGCCGGAGCGGACGTCAACGCGCGAACACTCAATGGGACGACCCCTTTACACGTCGCGGCGCAAGCTGGTCACTTTGACGTAGTCAAGTGTCTCTTGGAAAGGGCAGACATCAAACGGGCCCCGAAGGATACATTTGGTATCACTCCGTTCTTGCGCGCTGCGCAGAGCAAGAAACCTGCGCGCAAAGACATCATCAATGCCCTGGCACCCCACAACCAGGTCGAAGCGCTCAGCGAAGACGCCCTTGGCGCTACAAACGGGTTCCATGCTACGATCGTTGACTTTGGCAACTTCCATAACGAAAACAAGGTCTCAAGAAGGACTGTCTTCGAGCTGCTGTATGGCCGCGATCCCATCAACCCAAGAAAGCCAGCTGTTGCGATTCTACCCAAGGAGTCAAAGGCGACAACCTTCCGATGGATACATCTCCCTGCCAATAACATGGCCTGGGTTGAGGCGCTGCTCACGAAGGCCTTCATCGAGGAGGGTGCCAGTGATGTGGAGGGCTTCAAGGCGCTCGAAAGGTCCTTCAGTCATCAGCATCGAGGTCAGCAGATTCATTCGCATTTCATGCGACCGCTGTGTCAAAGCACACCACGTGCACCAAAACAGCACGATGATTCCGACCTTTCCGACGGCGCTGATTTCATCCCCCAGATTCTGGTGAATAGCGGTATGGGCTTAGGTATCGATGCGGTAGCTGGTTCACAAGAACTGCCAACGTCGCAAATTCCTCGCACGCCTGTGCGGACCAGTACCGTGGATACAGACTATACGGATGGGACTGCAGGAACGGGCTCCGGACCTACGACTATTAAGGAAGGAAAGAGTAAGGCGAAGGACAAATCGAAGAAGCAACCGAAGTGGAGTGGATCGAGACAAGCAGGCAAGCGATCAGGTGGGACGGATACACCAACCCGAGGTCCAGAACACCAGGCGAAACGAACGCATACTAGCTCCTCTCTCAACAATAGTGGGTATCTCAGGTCACCCGGCAGCCCGGGTAGAAAAGACCCAACGGCCGTAGCGAAGGGCAACATCTTTGCCTTCATGCCATACCTGCATTTCGAAACCGATCGGCGGCGGCAAGAAATGCAGGCTGCGATCTCGAGAACGCAGAAGATGAAAGAGCGGGAGAAGAACGAGGGTGGCACTTCCAAGCCACAGTATTACCGTGCATCAACTTATGACGAGATGCTGTTCAGGGCTCACTTGACATCCTCACAAGTTTCGCTGCACGTGCGACGCACGCTCGACCAGTTCTTCTATCACAATATCGACACGCAATCCCGAGATCGAGACCAAGTTGTCTATCGATATCAATGCAAGTCGAACGAGCCGCAACATGTTGACCCGAAAATCTTCATGGTCGATCAGCTATGGATGTGGACGCTTGGCAAAGACTTGATCGTGACAGCGTTCCCTCAAAGATGGCAGCAGCCTCGCAACGACCCGCTCAACGTCCTCGATGGAGTCATTGAAGACATCAATAGCAAGACAAGAGATCCGGTGCGTAGCGTGTACGATCTTGCCATGATCATCACCGGTCGGTGTAGTGGCGTGTTTGACAGACATCGCGTTGGCGACGAAGACTATCAGTTTCTCGATATGTTCGAATCAAGCATCGGTGATGCTACTGAGATGGAAACCATGCTTTTCAAAGAGTTCAACACAGCGTCCGCCCAGGCCTCGGCTTGGCTACAACATCACCGCCGACCCAATCGCTTTTCGCGACATTTAGAGGCCGAAGGAAGGCAAAGAGAGCACTTGAATCGCCGGCACACATCACATCATTCTCACTCTCACTCTCACGCGTTGACTGACCCTCCAGTGCCGGAAGAGGCATTTGACTACGGCGACAGCGATCGAACGGCCGCCCATGCCCCGCTCTTTGTTGATAAACTACTAGACATCGGCGCTGAGACAGACTTGCTGGCTGAGACGAAAGACATTCGCGACGAACTCAACATGATTTCGAAGGTGCTAGAAGATCAACGCACCATACTACCGGACATGGAGACGAGCATCACAGACATATATCGTGAAGAGCACAAGAGTCAACAGGAGCTGAAGAAGCGATTCAAGGATATGACGAAGACAGTAGACACACATATCAAGGATCTCGAACGCATGGACAAGCAAGCCAAGCGCATCTACGAATCCATCACCGACCTACTCGATCTAAAGCAGAAGCACGCCAACGCATTCGAGGCACGCTTCGCCCGCGACCAAGCAGCCGGTACTGCCAGACAAAGCCAGACCATCATGGTGTTTACCATTGTCACCATCATCTTCCTCCCTCTATCCTTCATCGCAGCCATGTTCACGATCAACATCCAGGAATTCCCACATTCGCCAGGCAGCGACGAGCCTTCGCTTCCTCTATCCTTCGTCAGCAAGTACATGTTCGGCATCGGCTTCGCCATCTCCATCCCGTTCATCGCCATCGCACTTTCATTCGACGCCATCGGAGACTTCTTCCGCGAAGTCAAACGCCGCTTCCGCGAGCGCAAGGCCCAGAATCGGCAGAGCCGGCGCGATACCGACGCTTACAGTGGTATCGAGAAGACAGACTTCGAGTACCCCTTCGACACGCGCACTATCGAACAGGCTCTGAGTCGCGGACGTAGTACGGCATACCGCCCCGACGGCAGGCGCAGCATCGAAAGCTATCTCGGCAGTGCGAGAGCGAATCACTGGGGTGATGGCGGCTCGTTGCTTCCGGTTGCTAGTCGCAGTACGGGAAGGAGTCCGGAGAAGGGTGCTGTCAGGATCACGAATGGCTTGAATGGCACGACTGCGATGGCCAACCGATTGAGTGTGGATAGGGCTGAGAGGCAGAGTCCAATTGAGAGGATTAGTACTGGGTTTCGGATGAGGGGAAGTGGGGATTTTGAACGCGCGTAGTTGTGGTGGTATCGCGCTTGTGGTGTTGGGAAGGTTTGGAAAATGCAGATACCCTAGCGCTGTTATGTACCATTGCTGATGAATGATTAAAGATACGTTACATTCTACGTTTTGTTCGCTGATGTGGTGTCCTTCGTTCAACGAGGTCGGGCTACCATGGTACTGTAATGAGACAATGATGACGAGCCGCACACGACTGCCGAAACGCATACCGTACAAGCAGGAAAGAATCATGGAGAGAGAGAGTAGGGTCGCAGGGTCCAGAAATTCACGCTGTCAGTGGTCAGAACACAGTAAAAGTTTCTTTGGGGTAGGTGCGCCTGTCAGTCGAGTTTGCTCTGCACCAAGGCCCCTTCCGAGTTTCTTCGCTCGGGTTTGTCTCCCGGCTCTTCCCATTTCAACTTGAACCCTCTCAGTATACTTTACATTGGATCGCTACGGTACCACGGCATGTCTACAACCAGCCCGGCCACCGGCGATGTAGTCGCTACACTTCCTGATGGGAACTCATTCCAATCAGCCCAGCACGCAAGCATTCCTGACTCCACCGGTACCCATATTGCTACCAACCATGAGCCTGGATATAGCAAGAAGCGCCAGAATGAGTGAGTGTATGGTCCAAGGGTTGTTAGAACCCATCAGCTAATAAATTTCAGAGCACATCAAGAAGAACAGGAAGCCGCCAACAAGTACGTACCGTCATACCGGCACCGCGAAGTCGCTGACCGAACATAGGCGACGGATTCTAAACATCTCGGCATCAGAACTGTTTGACATACGGACCATAGCACGGACCCGACGCAATGCAAAGCATGCAGAGGCTGTTGAGAAAGGCCGGCTCACATGTCTTCAACTTTGCGCAAAGTTGCACACCACTCTACCTCGAGAACTGCGAGACATGGTGTACAGCGAGATCATCGGCCCATACTACCGCGAGATCGTCACCGGACACAGGGACTGGAGAAAAGACGTCATTCAAAGCACAAAAATGGATTTCGTCAACCAAGGGATACGAGGCCTCAAGTCATCTGAACAGAGCGGTCTGAAGTGGTGGCTCGACAGCTATATGGGCCGCGAAGTAGCCACCGAGATAGTCGAGGCCTGGTACCGCGGTCGTACCTTCTGCTTCAGTCACCGTCGGTTGAACCTGATCCCTGATTTCTTGGAACGCGACGTTTTCTCCAAAGGCCTCAAACCAGGCCTTATCATCCAGCACATGCACGTTCACGTGGCCGAATACCAAACCAAGACTGATTACTTCGATGAGCTAAGAGATACACTCGGCAAGATCGAGAACAAGGATGTCAACTTGCACATACGTCTTATCCACAGGACTAGCATGTCGGCTCGACGGCTGCAACTAGAGAGGCTGGGTCCTGTCGTTTACCAGCTAAGAAGGGAAGGGCTGAGTCGCGTTACTGTACAGAGTTCGGGGTGTTGCAAGGACTTCACGTCGTTGTTTGATGTGGAAGAAGGGCTGCTCATCAGTTCTCTGGTATGTTGCTGAAAGGTTCGGTTTGATGTCTTCTAATGCTGGGGCAGGAAAATTGGGCGTTGACGGCAAATCCCAACATCTGAACAATCGTTGGGCTCGTATACATTGTGCACTGTATACTCAGAGAGGGTATAAGGGTCTTTGTTAGAGAATTGTTAGGCCGGCATAACTTTGAGTAGCCTTGCAATGAAGCTATGCATGATTTCATAACTCGTACGAGTTGATGTTTGTCTGCTGCAGCCTCGGTTGGCTGATACCCAGGTACGCGTCCGGACTAGCGTCGTGTTCCTTCGCGTCTTGTTGCCTGCACATTGATGACTCCGCCACTATCATCTTCTCGTCTTTAGGATAAGAGGCGCTTGCGCCCCTAAAACTGAAGATGATCATCAATTGCATCTTATGCTTACCAAATCCCAATAACTTCGCATGCGACTGACGGTCTGTTTCATCGGCTACTGATCCGCGATGAAGATTGGCCATTATGACTTTTCACACGCACTGAAGCGGAAGACGTATGTTATACGGTCCAAGTCTCATGTAAGGTAACAGGCTACTGATTGCATGTAGAAAATATCGACGTCGGAAACCTGATCCCAAACCTGATCCAGTCGAGTACGCCGCACCCACTTCACGTAATAGCATACGTCTAATCGAACAACAACAGCCCGACCCGCTTACTTGCACTCCACGAAGATCATCGCCAATCTCAGCTCAACTTCTGTACAGCTTTCCGCGCAGCCCTTCCTCGCGAAGTGAGAGACATGGTCTACGACCATCTCATTCCTCCCCGGAGGCAACATTACGTTGTTGATTGCCGTGAGGTAGATACCGGAATACGCTCAAGTCGATATTTCCACCACGATCACGGTGGCCGGTCTTTTTTCGACGCCCAACCGCCTTTACCTGAAGACCCTGTCATGCGTCGCGATTTGTGGAGATACTCCGAGTACACAGGGGAAGCAGTCGCAAAAGAGATAGCAGAGCACTGGTACCGCACTGGCGGCTTCATAATGTACACCCCGGGTGCTTGCTTGCTAGGCACATTCCTCACGCAAGATGTCTGGAAAAGAGGAGTCGTGCCTGCGGATACCATCCGATACATACGCATTGATCTCAGCTGGGATCAGATTTGGGGTGGCGCGCAGCGTGTCGTAACTGATCTCGAGAACCTTCTTAGGTTGACTAACAAAAACATGGTAGTTATCTTCCAGATAGATCATCATGCAGCTGATGAAGACTATTGCCCCAAGCCCCCGCTGTGGCCTGTCCTGCGAAGTTTGTTGAAGGCGTTTGCGCCGAGTATTTATCGTTTGCGCGCTGCTGGGTTTAGTAGGGTTAAGGTGTATCAAGGGGTTATTAGGAGGCTTTTTGAGAAGTGGCCGTGGGATAGAAGTCATAGGGATATCACGAATTGGTTTGATCTGGAGGAAGATGAGTTTCGGAAGGTGTTTTTGACGGTAGGTCGTGATGCGCTGATGATGTTGAGGATGTGTGCTAATGTATGGGCTAGGGGAGTGGAGATGATGAGGAGAGTAAACAGCGTATCGCCAATGTGATATTGAAGGGCAGTGGCTAAATAATATCGATACTGCTGGAGACGTAGAAGACTGGGTCGTATTCATTAAGAAAGGAAAAGAGATGGCAAGAAGTCCTGAACGGATATGTCATCGCTGTACCGACGAAAATTAGGACGATCTTGACTAAACAAGTCAATAACATTCAGTGCTTGGCTCCACTCTCAAGGAGACTTGCATACCACAACCGCTGACATGATCATGTCATCTACTCGTCTCTAGAGGCCTCCAAGCACGCAGAGATAAGAGCGTCTATGTACGGCTCGTCCTGAAGCAGTCTTGACTTACACAGCTGCTTTTCATCTTCGGTCGCATGCTCATGGAAGTTACAGCGATCTTCTATCTCCTTGCGTAATGCATCCATCCCTTTGCCTTCGCTTGCAAGCTTGTGGTTGATGTTCACAACTCCTACTAAGAAGTCTTGGGGCAGCTCTGCAGCCTCGAGTAGCGTTCGGTAAGGGCCCATGTATTGGCCCCAATTCAACGCAGCACTCTTGACGAAGTATTGACAAATGGTAGAAGAAGGAGGTAGTTCGTCGAAAACGAAAGCAATCGTTTTGGGGTTGGGAGCAAACTCATCTTTCATAATGTCGCCGAAGGCGCTCACAACGTCGTTGCGCAATCTGACGCACTCGTATGCATCCGCAAAGCGATAGAGATCGAAGAGATGAGTCAAAACTTTGTCAATAGAGTCGGAAAGAGCAGGTGATTCGACTACATTTGTCTTGCTCATCCTTTTACGCGTGTGAGATGAGACATCAGCGGTCAAAGATCGGGTCATGCGCGCTGAAGGGCTTATCAATGCTTTCACCTCACTAAGAGCCGGAGGCGAACGAGCCATCTGAAGGTAGACCCAAGTCTGAAAGAGGCCGCAGATGGTCTCATGAGTCTCAGGAAGATGCAAGACGCCATCTCTGCCTTCTTTGAAGTTGGGTTCGAATGCGCGAGAGAAGTACTCAGAGTGCCGGCGGAGGAGGTTTTTGTGAAATATGAAGGGTGTTTTGTTGACGCCGACGGTCACACGTACCATCTCGTTCCCGAGATCCCTGATCTTGTCAGTAATTGTAAGGACTAACTGAGGGGTTGCTCTACATGATGCGTGCCTTGGAATTGATTGGGAGGGCGCTGTGGAATTTGAGCGGTTGAGAAGCAAAACTGTCAGTTTCGAAGGTGGAGAAACCGAAGAATTGAGGCAACGAAGATCGAGATCAAATAATCGTGGTGCGAAGGGAAGGCGCAGTAGCAAGAGGGTTCCACGGCCATGGTATCGTGAATGCGCGGTCTTGTCCTGCAAACGTTCAGTAGTTCCCATGTACACACCGTATTCACCGTGATCAGTTTTGCAGGTGCCTACAAAGCACTAGAGATCTACCTTTCATTGATCGTCTAGAGAAGTGGGGTTGTGGGAGAAGGTCAATCGAGTGCCAAACGCGAACTCACATGACGCGACGCCAACGCCGGCTTATCTCCGCTCCATCGCCGAAGTCCAAGCTCCAAGCTTAGGCGTCACCACCGAGCAGGTGCGCCCACAGCTACAACCGAAGCCGCAGCAGAGTGAGAAGGAGCACTGAGACAGCGGGTGATCGCGCAAAAAATGACTACGAGCCCACGATAGCTGAGAGCTACATCCCAAGCCCACCATGGCTTACGACACCTCGAGCGGGTATGCGCCGCCCAGCACAAGCAACATGCAGGAGGACGCCTCGGGCCCCATGTTCAGCATAGAGCGCGTGGCTTTACAGTTTACAGTATCTTCCGACTTCGTAGCGGCTGCAGTAGCGAATAATGTTGTCGTCCTGGCTCTGTCCACCGGGCGCATCTTACGCATCGATTTGGACAGTCCCGCAGATATAGACGGTTCGTATAGCAATGCACACACCACACGAAAGACTTGGACAGCCGCTCATATATCTCAAGATATCGATCTTCCGAAGAAACCTTCAGAGGTTGGTGTCATCAGACGCCTCTTTCTCGACCCCTCCGCATCCCATCTCATCATAACCACCACCCTCGCTGAAAACTACTACCTCCATACACAATCTCGGACACCGAAGGCGTTGTCACGGCTGAAGGGCGTTGTCATAGAGAGTATCTCGTGGAATCCCTCGCAACCCACTGCGTCGACGCGCGAGATACTCGTGGGAGCGTCAGACGGCAACGTTTACGAAGTGTACATCGAGCCGTCATCCGAGTTCTACAGGAGGGAGGAGAGGGTAACGTAGCTGCCACGGATAGCTCTTAAAACATCTTGCTAACTTTTTACTAGTATGTATCCCTCATGCTATACTTTGGCAACGCGGTTCCAAGACATCTTATTATTCGTACTAACAGCCTGATAGATACTTGAAGAGCGTATACCGGACGAACGATGGCCCTATTACTGGTTTGTGGACGGATACGGTGCCTGGGAGAACGGATCTGCGGCGTATCATCGTCGCGACACCTTCGACTTTCCTACATTTCGCTGGCAAGGTCGGACGTCAGGGGTCAGAAGGAAGCGGATCTATATTCTCGAAGCTGTTTGAGAGCGAATCTGCGACCGTACATGAGGTCTCCAATGTCGCCCCCACGGCAGCCTCGTTGCTTGCTATCTCCCCGGAGCACAACGACAGCCCAAACCGCGAGGACTCCAACGCCGAGAGGATCTTCGGCTGGCTTACATCACAAGGCGTTTTGCATGGGAAGCTGTATCTATCACAGGATACTTCTGAGCTTGGCGGCAAAGTTCTTGGAGACTCAAAAATGTTGCCTAGATCACAGGTGCCGCCTTCACAAACCGCTAGCGGGCGCACGCGACGGACACAAGATCCTGTCAATTCGATGATATTGAGCCAGTGGCATATTCTTCAGCTAGTCGAAGGCCGAGTCGTAGCTATCAACCGCCTCGACGACACTGTTGTCCATGACCAAGTTGTGCTGGAGCCCGGACAAAGTGCGCTTGGTCTTGTAGCTGACTGGAAGAGGAATACTTACTGGCTCTTCACGAGCCAGGAGATCTTCGAGATCGTTGTCGAAGACGAGAGTCGTGACGTTTGGAAGATCATGCTCCGAGCACAACAATTCGAGGCTGCATCGCAGTACGCCAAAACACCAGCGCAGAAGGATGCAGTGGCAACGGCATCTGGTGACTATCTTGTTGGCAAGAGCCAGTGGATGGAGGCTGCGACTGTTTACGGACGAAGCACGAAGCCGTTTGAGCAAGTCGCGCTGACATTCATCGACAATGGCGAGCAGGACGCGCTACGGAAGTACCTGGTGACGAAACTGTCTACCTTGAAGAAGTCATCGATAATGCAACGGACCATGGTCGCTACTTGGTTGATTGAACTATACATGGCCAAGCTCAATACTCTCGATGACACCATTACCACGAAAGCAGAACTCTCAGAGAGCATGAACACCGCCGAGACTCATGATCAACTATCAGTCATCCGGAAAGAGTATCAAGACTTTGTAACCAAGTACAAGGCTGATCTTGACCGTAAGACTGTATACGAGATCATCAGCAGTCACGGTCGAGAGGAAGAGCTGCTCTACTTTGCTACTGTGGTCAACGACTACAACTACGTACTCTCGTACTGGGTGCAGCGTGAGCGTTGGCAAGAATCTCTGGACGTACTCAAGAAGCAGACAGATCCTGAGATTTTCTACAAGTACAGCTCCGTGCTCATGGCCCACGTACCAGTCGAACTTGTCGACGTGATGATGCGACACTCGAACTTCGACGCGCAGAAGCTCATCCCCGCATTCCTCAACTACAACAACCACACCAAGGCCACGCTGAACCAGAACCAAGCAGTCCGCTACCTGCTCTTCGAGATCAACCAACACAACTCAACCGACGCCGCCATTCACAACACCCTCATCTCCATCTACGCCTCCCACCCCACGAGCGACGAATCCGCCCTCCTCGCCTACCTCGAAGGTCAATCCCTCGCCCACGAGCAAAACTACGACGCCGACTTCGCCCTCCGCCTTTGCATCCAACACAAGCGCGTCCAATCTTGCGTACACATCTACAGCTCCATGCAACAATACGCGCAAGCCGTCGACCTCGCCCTAAAATACGACGAAATAGACCTTGCCTCGAGCGTCGCCGACCGCTCCAACACGTCCCCCGTGCTCCGCAAAAAACTCTGGCTTGCCATCGCCAAAAAAGTAATCTCGCAATCCAGCGGCATCAAAACCGCCATCGAGTTCCTCCGCCGCGTCGACCTCCTCCGCATCGAAGACCTCATCCCCTTCTTCCCGGACTTCGTCGTCATCGACGATTTCAAAGAGGAAATCTGCGCCGCCCTCGAAGACTACAGCCACAAGATTGATGGCTTGAAGCAGGAGATGGATGATAGTGAGGCGACGGCTACGCATATCAAGTCGGATATCAAGGCGCTGGAGCAGCGGTATGCGATTGTGGAACCCGGGGAGAGGTGCTATGTGTGTGGGTTGCCGTTGTTGGCGAGGCAGTTCTTTGTGTTTCCGTGCCAGCATGCGTTCCATAGTGATTGTCTTGCAAAGAGGGTCGTAGAGCTGGCGGGGATTGCGAGGGGGAAGCGCATTGCGGAGTTGCAGGCTGAGGTACAGAGGGGGGTTAAGGTGGGCAAGGGCAGGGAGAGGGCTATTAGGGAGCTGGATGCGTTGGTGGGGAGTAGTTGGTGAGTCTTTTTTTCTCACAGTGATCTCTTGATTTGGATGTTGGCTAACGTGCTACAGTGTGTTGTGTGGTGAACTCGCCGTTAAGCTCGTCGACGAACCCTTTATCACCGCTAAAGACGACAAAGACGAATGGGCTCTTTAAAAAAAAAACTACTGAACACTCTGGAGCCTACGTTGACCCTGGGCCACCTACTCTGCATGTTTTCATCATGATGTAGGCGCCAGGGTCTTCAGGATATGCCTAGATTAACGTGTAGCTTAAAGTAATCATCATCAGCACGAAATCATACAAGGCAGTCGTATTGTACATTTTACTTTGAATTGCATCTCTATAAGCCCCGCCCCTGCATGTGGTGGTATACAAATTTTAGTAGTGCCGTACAATAAAACGGAGCTGATGATGTGATTCCCCCGTTGTCTGCCCCCACCCCCGGAGACGCCGTAGCGCTGATGCAAGAACTAAGAAGAAAGGAAGAATAAGAGGCGACAAGAAAAAGGATTAGACGGATAACTTCAAACGAACGCCAGATGGTGATACCTTTTCCAAGACTGTGGGCCGTCGCCATGGAACGACATGCGATAGCGCTACTCATCCTCATCGTCGTCCATGGCAGTGTCACCATTAGCTTTCGGTGCAGCGATAGCGTCATCGTCTTCATCCTCATCGTCGACGACACGGGCTTTGCGGGGACGAGGCGCAGCAGCAGCGGCACCTTCGTCGTCGCTGCCAGCCGTGCCATCAGCCTTGTCTCCGTCTTCAGCGGGCGCGGCACCGTCCTCATCGCTCTCATCGTCGATGAACTCCGCGGACTTGTATTTACCGACTGGTTCGCTCTTGCGGGCGAGCTTCCTCTTCTTCTTCTCGCGGGGCCGCTCTTCGTCGGATAGGTCCTCGGTGCCACTAGCTGTAGTGCGTCTGCGTCTTGAGCGTGGCTCGTCGTCGTCAGAGGGCAGGCCGTCGGTGTCGGAGTCGGCGTCCTTCTTCTTGCGCTTAGGGCCCTTGGGTCCACGTGCTTTGCGCTCTGCCTTGCGGACTTCCTTGTCTTCGTCTTCTTCCATGCGGCGACGCTCTTCCTCGTTACGCTTCTCCATGAGTTCGCGGTCGCGCTGGAGGAGGCGCTGTTGCTCTTCTGCGTACTTGCGCTTCTTCTCTAGGGCCTCTGCTTCTGCGCGTGCCTTTTCTTCCTCACGGCGGCGCACTTCCGCTTCGCGGATGCGGCGCGCTTGGTCGAGCTTGGTCGCGTTTTCGCCTTCGTATGCGGCCTGCTTCTCGCGGGTACGCTCGAGCTGCTTGACCATGGTGTTGCGACCCATGTTTGCACGAGCGGTAATGTCGGCACGTGGGAAGGGCGGGTTCTCCTCCTTGGTGAGCTTTTC